CGTGTCATTAACAGAGAATAAGGTAAAGTTCAGCTTGCTGCAGACGTTTAATCAGGATCCAGCCCAGCCAGGTGCAACCCAATTCAAGTGTGGCAACAATGTGCCTCAAAGATGCCCTTAAAGACGTGAGGCAACAACCTACTTAAAAACAATTTGAAAAACTAAGGAAGCCTTAGCTACATGTAGGGTAGCAAGAACCTTCCAGTCTTTTCAATAATTCTACAAGGGCAGACACCTCTCAACTCAAAGGCCCACGTATAAAATGGTGCACCCTTCCCAAGTGACTAAGAAACGTGCATGTAAAAGAATTCTATGCAATTATGTTCAGAGAATATCAAACCTTAATTAATGTATTGGTGATTTCAATAATAGAACGCCCAGTGTTGTCTAAGAACAAATGGAAGGCGTTGAACCAATGGTCAGATTTATGGCTGAATCAATCACGCGTGTTGTCAGCTCCCTCAGAGGACTCTCTCCACCCTTGTGTGTCCTTGGTTCTCTAGGGCCTCCTTCCAGGACACCAGCATCCTGTCAGCGATGCTCTGCATGGTGACTTGTGACTGTTGTGGCCCATTTAAATTATACACAGGGCACCTTCCAGTGAGAAGGGTTCCTGTGCAGCGACCGGAGGTGCGTGATTCCCAGGTTTGCCTCACCGAGCAAGTGGTGCACATCGGTGTCTGTGCTTCAGGGCGTTAGACTGGAAGTCGGGTGGGAATACGGAGGCTGCGGTGCTGGCTTCAGATGAGGAGAGAAGCAGCTGCAGTGAAACACACAAGAAACAAAGAGCCAAAAACAAGATTTTTTTCTTATGCGTATATTTAACATGCTAAACAGATTCTGGCAATTTCCTCATGGCTCCAAAAGAAGCCTGAGCTGAGATTTTCACAGAGAGTTCCAGGCTCTGGATCCTGTACTCGTGGGTTGAGTCACATCTGCCACAGAGAGGAAGCGATGCATAATTAACTCGGCCCCACGTCACTGCCGTGGATCACGGACGTCTCAACTGCTGCACTGCCTCACAGAACATAAACCAGCTACAAAACTCCGTCAGTCTCTTTCCTCTTAAATTTGTCTTGCCATCACTTACCGTTTAAAAGGGTAAATCTTCCTCTAGTTTTAATTAAAGCATTTACAATAATTTACATTGAAATCATATGTGCCCGGGTCTGTCAGAAGCGTTGCTTTAATAACATGCCATCCCCTTCTCCACTGCCCTGAAATCTGTTAAAATTACCACTAATCTAATTGGGAGCAGAGTTGTCAAATGCACGCGGCTCTGACAGTTTGTCTTTCTGTAAACTGCCGACAGATTGCAAGTTACGCATGTGTTGAGCAGATGGGTAAGTTAAAAGGAACACCAAAAAAAAAAAAAGCAATTTATTAAATCACCTGGAACCAGCAGCTCCAGTCCAAAAATAGTGAGAATGAAGTCCAGCAGGAGCCAGGAGTGCTGGCGCTCGAGCGCACCAGAAGGCACGGGGTGCAAAGCAAGATAAACATTTGGAGATGCCTCAGCTGTGTTACAGAATAATGAGGAGTTATTTAACCCGACATAGATTACCAGCCAAAATTAATTCAGGGTGCAGCTTTTTTGGAAAACGGTTTCCAAAGTGATTGCTTTAACCCTTTACTGTCTTCTCTTTGTTGTGGGAGGACAGGGACATTTTTCCTCTTCTCTTGTTTTCAAAGGCACCAGCACACACTCACATGCATACATGATACATACACACATGTCCACACTCATGTACATGTGAACACATGCACATCTGTGCAACCACATACTAGCTTGTATGTGCATACACGTGCACATGCATCCATGTGATCTCGTGTGCATCTGTGTAGACATCTGTGAGTGATATATACATATACATCAGTCTCTAACTGCATCTACCTATCTGTTTATCATCTATCATCCATCTCTAACTACCTATCATCTATCATCTATTAATCTATCATCTACCAATCTATCACCTATCAATCATCTATCTGTCAATAATGTATCTATCATATATGATTGTGTCCATGAGAGACTGCTCATTTTCCATCATCTGAAGCAAGATTCTGAGGAAGCTGTGCTTGCACAGGTTACCCAGCCTGTGGCTGCTGTTACCATAATTGCTTGCGTGTGTCCCGTGGGGACACTGTCCGGGCCGGAGGATGGGAAGAGCTGCTGTTAGCATGGGGAGACCGGGAGTGGGGAGGGAGAGAAGTGGAGCCCGATGGCCCCTTTCGGGGGCTCCACGCAGCTAGTCTGTGCAATCGGGACTTGTGAGAGGTGTGCTTTGAAAACGCATGTGGCTTAGGAACTAACAAACAAAGAGGCCGTGTTTATGTAGTATTTGTCTCATTTAGGCAACCTGGGTCTGTACAAAATCATCAGTTCAGTTTTCAAAGGGCAGTAAATCTACAATAAAGATACATTCTGTCTCGACAGGAGACCTTGACAGGCCCAGAGACCCAGAAAATAAACTCTCTGTCACTTCCTGGAACAGACCAACACCATCACTTTAAGGAGAATCTCTTGCTGGATATTTAGGTGATGGGTGATGAAGAGCTGAGAGCTGAGTGTGTGTCTGGGTCCCCGAGAGCAGGACAGAGGGACTCAGACGTCAAATGCTGGTGTTCTCGACTCACTCCACCATCGCTCTGCCTCCTGGGATGTCATCCACTTTCACAGTTCAGGTCACTGTAGAGTCTGGTGACCAGCAGATCTGCATCCTGCGCCTGGTGTTCTCACTCGGAGTGAGAAACCTGTATGGAAACACCAGTGACAAATCACAGCACGAACATTCCTCAGGCCTCTCAAACTCCAGATTCAACATGGAATTCCTCAAGCCCCCCAGACTCACCTCTCCTCCTGCGTTTACTGTGTTAGTTATTCACATCGCTTCACCCTTTACCATCCAAGCTAGGAACCTGGGAACCGACCTCGAGGCATCTCTCTTCTTCACTGACCATAGCCAGTCACAAACTTTGATGTCCCAATGTTCCTGTAAATCTGTCCTTCCCTTTCAGTCTCTCACAGAATGTCTCCATCCCAGACGTTCATTGTCTCTGTGTGGACGTGAGTGTAGGTCTTACTTTCTAGTCTCCTGTTTTCCACAATCCATTTTCCTCGTAGTTGCTTGGGAGACTCACCTAAAATTCAGGTCAGACCACGTTACTTCTCTTCTTGCTGTGCTGGACCTTCTGTTTGCCAGCAGACATGCTCTCTGCCCTGTGCTCTGTCGCTGGAGGCTGGGAGGAGGTAGGCTGGTTCTCCCGCTCCGTCCTCACCAGGCCGCAGAGGGCAGCGGTTCGCTCCTCTCCTGAAGGCCTATGGAGCCACCACCGAAGACTTCTCCCCCATTGAGGGCTGCAGCTGGAGCTCTCTGAGGGATCTGGGAGGGCCGTCCACCCTTTGTCTGAAGCTCGGTGCTGTTGGTGCTCTTGTCCCTCTCTGTTGCTGACCCTAGGATGTTCCACCAGGCCTTGTTAGTGTCTCTAACCCTGCCCATGCTTCTGTAAACTGTCCCTTCATTACAATTTCCTCAATCACATCTTTCCATCTGTTTCCTCCTGGGGTCCCAATGACACATTCCCCCATTGCCAACAAAGCAAAAATTTCAAATTCTTATCCTGCCAAACAAGGCTCTTTAAAACCTAGTCCTTGCCAACTTCTCGCTCTCTCGGCCTAGGCCTCACTAGCTCACATCGTGCGCTCCCCACAGCCATTGAACGTTCTGCACTGATGGGCCTCACCCTGCCCTCTCCATGCATGACACGTCCTCTCGGCCCCATACTCTACCCAGCTCCCTCCTCCATACTCTCTCTGGCTCTCACTTCTTTTTCCTTAAAGGTACAGCTCAGGTATCATCTCCTCCAGAAAGTCTTCCTTGAGCCTTTGTTTGCCCACCCCTGGCTATGCTCACAAGGTTTTATAGACTCACAATGAATACTGCACATTAAAGGCTCTGAGAAGTCGCTTGCTAAGATTTGTTAGTCTATTTTAACCCAGTTTTTCCCAAAGTTATTTTATCCCCTCAATTAATTTTTCAGATCCTTTTTCTTCATTTTCTTTTTCCTTTCTTCCTTCTCCCTCCCTCCTTCCCTTCTTCTTCTCTCTCTCTGTTTTCTCTTTTTTTCTTTGCTAAACTCTCTACTGGCTTATCTCATTTAATTTTGCCAACAATTTTATAAGGTTGGCCCTATTAGTATGACCATTTTTATACTGTGGAAAGTGAGAATTAAGGAAGTCAAATGATCTATCAGTGGAGACATGCCAGGAGGTGAAGGAGCCAAGATGTCGATGCAAAGAGTTTCGCCCTGGGATCTGCACCCTAATGATAGTATTAAAGGCGGGATCTGCTATGTCTAGGCATTACTTACAGCACACGTGGATAAGTGTACATAATCCTCCCACATAAACAGTAATAACTACATAAGAATTTATCAAAAGGAAAGAGCCAGCTGTTATGTTTTAGTTTGAGATTACGTTAAACTTAGCATTCGGTTTGCAAGCCAGGGTTAAATTCAGGAGCACTCAGTGTGGTATTGAAGATCAAATATGCTAATGGCATTTGCTCTATAGGTCAGTTTTAAATACGACACTTTCTCACACACCTTAGGGGTGAAAGAAATATGAAGGTTCCCAAAATAAGTATAGAAAAATCCAGAAATAGGAACTACATATTTTCCAACAAAACTCAAAATATTTTAAACAGTGTGATCCTGGCCAGGAAGCTTCAGTTGCCCGTGGAAAGAAATTTACAGACAGGAAAATGCAGCTCTTCTGAGACCCTTGAAGGAGAAAGATCTGCCCTTATTGTAAAGTTCTTCACCGATTAAGCAGGTAGCTTTGAGGGGATGCACACTGGGAACGCACTATTCAGTCAATCAGATTAATGGTTCAAATGCTCCATACATTGATGGATGTTATGGCCACACTTCACAATCTACTAATGTTGTAACTACCAAGTAAGATAAACAGTAGAAAGATGCTTGTGTAAACAGAAATGCAACATGGAGTTGTAAGATTTTATTATTCTTAACCATTAGGTTAACATGTGTTAAAGTCTATACCAAAGCTTTTGTTGCTCATGGCCCACTTGTACATGGACTCTCTCATGTTTCCTAAGCAGGAGTATCCATCAGAGTCATCAGAGAAGCTTCCTACAAACACATAAAGCTGAAGTTCCCAAAAGAAGATTCAGATGCAGTAGTTCTGGAATGGGCACTGGCTTATATTTACTGCAAAATCTCCCTAGATGAATCTGATATCCACCCATCTGTTATATAGGATGGGCTAGTTATGCTACAGTGACAAATACAACCACACAAACCTCAATGGCTTCACTTTACCAAAGTTTGTCTCATGCTCATGTCACCCAGAAAGTATAGGTTAGCAGGGAAATTAATCATCCTGGTCACTCAGAGATCTATATTGACTGAGGCTTCATCTCCATACATCCTAATATGACAATAACAGTGGTGGGATTGAGGTGCGGGCAGTTGGCCCACTGGCTCTAATTCCTGAAAGGAAGCATCACTTCTCAATCCCATGCACCACTTCTCAATCCCATGCATCACTTCTCAATCCCATGCATTACTTCTCATATCCCTTGCATCACTCTCACTCCCCATGCCTGAAGCAAGTCACACGTCCACCTTTAACTTCAAAGTGGTGGAAGACTGTACTTCTACTATGCACTTGGAATGGGAGAGACCTGGTGTTATTTTAGAACAACATTAGTGGCAGCCAAACTCCCTGATCAAGAATGATTGGGTTCAGTCTCTTTAGTGTACAAGGAAAGAAACAAAGTACAGAGAAATTAGATGAGTTTCCAAAGTCATATGGCTAACTGGTAGAACTTGAATTAGCGTAATGGTCTCCCTACTGCAATTATTTTCTTAAGTATTCCAACTAATTTAACCTACTTCTCTTGCCACACATTTTTTTCTTCTTTCTTCTCTTTTGTCAGAAATTTTCAAAATCAGAAAAATTCCTTCCTTTAACACATAACTTAGGGTTTGTGATTTATTTGCTGGCAGTTTTAAATAAGACGCTTTTAACCCCACTTAGTAACAGTCCACTTTCATGATTTATTACAACTCTCTTTCTCTGGTTAATTAAACTCATTTCTTAGGAAATGACTCATGCCTAATCATGCTAAGAACAAAATTAGTTATATTGCCCTCTTTGTTATAAAATGAGTGTAAATAACTTTTAAGACAATTTTTCTAAAATCAAAAAAAGCATGTAATAGTCCCCAATTCAGCAACATTATGTAAAATAGCAGACTCAGAGAGTAGTAAATCCAGATGCTGTCATATTATTACGTGAAACAAGGCAGAAATTTACATTCCTTTATTATTAGACTGAGCTCCATCAACAGCATTTCTTTGTGGAAATACTCTATTTTGGAGGGTTAAAGCACATTAAAAAATTCCTAGACTAAAGCCTGTTGTACGATTTCTTTGCCCACTGGAGAGATATAAAACCATTACATTTAAGTATCATAATCGCTAGCATATGCTATTTCTTAGAAATGACACCACCATCTGGATTAAGGTCCACTGATGATTTCATACAATACTCCAGCTTTCTTCGGGTAGAGCAGGGCCAAACTGTTCCAACTTCAACCACCCTGTCGTACTAATGAAAAATAATAAAAGGTTACACTTATGCTTGACCCACTTACTGGAGATCGCATGCTGCTTTATTAATAAATTATATAATTATCATAGTAGCTGGGAACACAGAAGGCAAGCCAGATGCCTGTGTTAAGAAAGCAAGTTGGGGCCCAAACCCATCTCCCAGTGTTGACTGTTTCCAGCCACACAGATCGTGGATTCTCCAGGTGGCTAGAAGCATGGTCCTGCCGTGGAAAGCCCACTCACCTTGTTCAGAGCTTGGCTCTCCTGTTTGCTAATCGCAAGAGCCGGGGTGTCCCTGAACATTCCTGAGCCTCAATGTCCTCAGCTGTAAAATGGGAAGAACTCTCTCCATAGTGAGTCTGGTAAGAAGCTCAAGGATTGCAACTGTAGGTTCTCAACAAAGTCCCTCCTTCACGTACTAACAGATTAGGAAGTCATGGCTGTTACAATGATGATTATTAATATTATTTACTTTTCCTCCCACTAGTCATCTTTATTTCTTCAAACTGGGCACAAACAAAACACAAGATTAAGAGAAAAGGTGGGGTCAGGATGTGGAAAGGGAAGCCAGATTGGAAGTGGGACAAGAAAAGAGCATATTACACCTTGAGTGTCTGTCCCAGAGCGGCTTCTGACGTGGCAGAATCACTAGAAAATGCAAAGATATGCTGTGTAAGAGGCAGCAGCAGCGTCGGTTTGTTTTCATGTGAGCCGCCCTCATGGCTGGTTGTCTTTAAAGGTCATTTGGTGAACTCACAGTTTAAGCCCTTCGACTCACTGAAGTCATTAAATAGATGAGTGATGGGGTGGGGGTTGCGGTGGGGGAGGCAGAAGAGAGGAGAAAGGGCCTCTCACCGGCGTCCTCACTGGCCCCTTGCCTATTGTTGTGCACACAGCAAACCTCCCGGGCCAATCCATCCACTGGCTGTGCAGGGAATGGGGCAGCTGGATAATTGATGGACTCAATCCGACCAGGCGCAGGTGGCACGGAGACGGCGTGCAGCAGCTTCTCGGGTTTGCCAGTGCCATCTGTTGCCATGAGAACATCTGTCGTCAAGGTCACCCTGTCACCCTCTGTTAAAGTTACAGGTTTGGTGAAGTAGGAGAATGTCACCTAAGAAGACGGGGTATGTGTGTTGGGGGCTGGGGGGAGGAGAAAGGGAGGCCAAGATACACAAAGACGATGGGGAATCTCTCTCTTTTAATTATGAGAGATGAATAACAATAATGGGGAGAACGACTGCGTGAGGAAAATACACTCGGTTTTAAAGGAGAACTTCCCGGCAAAGGTTTGCCAAAGATGGTTGTCATTGTTCTCTTGCTGAAACATTAGCTCATTTTGTAGAATAAGGGCACCTCTACCATAGGCCTGGCATCCATTCGTAAAAGAAATGTATGTAACTATAGTAGGATTTACATGTAAAGACAAGCACTTTTCTCCCGGCTTGCTCTCTCTAAAATCCAATCCTCGGCAGGACCCTGTTGCATAAGCACATTTTATTCAGCATCCATGTGTGTGTGCGCGCAGTCACAGCATGCTCTGGGAGGTAGCGGAGTGCAAGAGGGCATTGCATTTATCAAAGTATTTAACTGGCATTTGAGCTTTGCTCTGCTTCCAGAGAGAACGACCCATTTGTGAATAAAGAACAATTAAGTTAACAGACTCAAATGAGCTGCTGGACAAGGTCCTGTGATGAAGCAAATGCAATGTTGGATTTTTAAGCGGCAAGAATTACGTGCGGCCGGGCTCCCAGCAGCAGCGGCTCACTTGCCCTCTGCATTGACGCTGATGCTTTTTAAAGCGATTTCACCCAGTGGCAAAGAAACCCCATTCCCATCTGTTTAGGAAGCGGCTTCGCTTATTGCACCGATATTGCCGGCAGGATGGCTTTCAGGGCCTTACGGATCATCAGCGAGTGGTGAGACGAGAGGGGAGATAAGCTGCTGCATTTTATGAAAAATACTCACATCTGCCCTGTCAGACCTGAAGGGCAGTAGATGAAAACAAGCGTTTTTTCAGCAAAAAGGAGGGTCAGAGAAGAAGACAAAAGAGCAGACGACGCTCCTCATTCTGTGGGCACCGTGGAGCCTGGTTCTGTGCTCCGGGTTGACAGCAGTCCCTGTCCCTCTAGATCTGTCCATCTCAGCAATTCACGTTCGAGGACTCTGCACTTTGGTAATGCAGCACATCCGGGAAACAAATGAGTATTGCGTTCAGGACAGAAGTTTTGAAGTCAGTTGGCCACTGACCAGCTGGGTGAGCTTAGGGAAGTCTCTTAACTTTCCCAAGCCCTGGATTGCTCATCTGAAAATGGAATGTGAAATGGTCATTATCACATAGAATTCCTGAGGATTAAATGCCTGACATATAGCAAGTGACAGATAAATGGTAGGTATCAATATTGTCAATCTTTAGCTTAAACTACTATTTGAACCTCAATGCCATCATTGTAACTCCAAGAACCTCATCCCATGTGGTTCCTTCCTCAGAGTAAGAGTTGGGCTGAGCGTGGTTCCCTGATACATCGAGGCTGATTTGAATAAACCTACGTTCTCACCTCCAAGCCGTGGAAGTGGGGAAGTGTTCTCTATCAGAGACTCTGCCTGAGCTCCGAGTGCCGGAGGACATCCACACAGGGACATGCCCCACTGTGACAGGGCGCAACTACCAAACGTCAGCGCTGTTCCCAACGGGAGCTGCCCCCTCTCAACTGTCTGGCTTCTGTATAATAGACCGTCTGAAATATTGTCCTGTGGCTAAGAGACTTGAAATCTGCTGGGCTTGATGGTCACCAAGATCCCATTCAACATTAATATTCTGACTTCTAGACTATCACTAATACATTTCACACTAACATGTCAGAGGAAGCGAAAGTGTTGTACAAGTACACATATCATCTCCTTGATAATTAAAGGAACTCATTGTGAACGTAAGAGTTGTGCAATGTTGTGAGGAGAGGACTCGAGGCTGTGCAGGGCTCTTTCCATGGTAAACAACATCAGCCTGTGTGTGTCTTTGAATGTTCAAGTCGGTCAGATCTCTGCCTGTCTCATTCTTGACATCTTCGTTGCCTCTTTTAACTTGCTGCTTCTTGTGTGCTGTCAAATAAGACACCAAACGATGAAACTTGTTAGTTGTGTGTGCAAGCTGAGCATAATGCAGCCATGAGTAAGGATGTCCAGACCCGTCCTGACTGATGCACCTGCAGGTATTTTGTTAACCGGCTACATGGTGGCTCTAGGGCAGGGACTCATTCTCTAGGTTTGGGCTTTGTTCTCTGTAGGGAAGATGAGCTGGTAAATATTTAACACCAGCTGGGAGTGGAAGAGCCCTGATTTAAAGAAACTGCTGATTTCTGTGGGGTAGATATCCCGCCATGGCTGATTCTGAGCTGCCGTTGTGTCCCTGAACACAGACTTTGTTGGACACGGAATTGGGCAGAGAGGAGACAAAGTGGTGAGCTCCAGCACACGACAGTGTCAAGGGCGTCATCAAGGAGGAGGCTTGCGGTCACAAGTGTGGGCCCTCAGAGAGACAGAGGCCACTGTTGCATTCTTTATTTCTTCTGCAGAGATTCACATCTCTTTAAAATTAACATTTGTTGATAGCTTATATGTACTGGACACTGTGCTAAGCACTTTATGTGAATTACCTCATTTAATCATGGAATAATCCTCCAAAACGGGGCTGGGATTAGCCAGATTTCAAAAGTAAAGAAACTGAGGTTTAGAATGGTTGAGTAGCTTACCCAGGGCTCCTTAGCTAGAAAGCAGTCGAATGGGAATGTGGATCCAGACAGTCTGGCTCAAAACCCCACATTTCAACTGTGAACCCACTTCGTAAACAACATAGCACACCTGACGTGGGCTAGTTTCTAGCAAATGAACGTGTGTACACTAGTTGATGATCATCCATCCATTACTAGACATGGTATCAGCGCACATAACTTGCAATGATCTTGTTACAACAGTCTACAAGGGGCTGGCCTGGTGGCATAGTGGTTAAGTTCACCCACTCCACTTCAGTGGCCCAGGGTCCGTGGGTTCGGATCCTGGACATGGACCTACACACCACTCATCAAGGCATTCTGTGGCAGCATCTCACATGGAAGAGCTAGAAGGACTTACAACTAGGATCTTCAAGTATGTACTGGGGCTTTCAGGAGAAAAAAAAGTAAAAAGGGAGAGGAAGATGGGCATAGATGTTAGCTCAGGGCTAATCTTCCTTAAAAAAAAAGAGAGATGTAAATATTCAAAATTTTATAAATTGCATGTTGACCTTTACAACTATCTCCTCTTTGCATATTCTCTTTTCACTTTTTTACTGAATTTGAAATCTCAATTATTATGCAAGTTCATAGCATACCCATCTCAATGGCTATCACTGTGAAAACTAAAAATATAAAACAAAGAGAAAATGAAAGTCTGATCATTTTCATCAATAGCTGTTAATTCAAAAGCACTGTAGTAGAATATCAGTCTGCAAATAATATTCCAGTGACCATCACACAGCCACATAATTTAAGCAACCATAAATGCAATGTCACATTATAGAGGGCTTCTAATTCAATTGAGTTTAAAGTAGGCCAAAGTCAGTCATTTGTACCTTTCTGCATAGATTGCTCTTACAATTACTTCCCAGAAAATAAAAACAAAACATAATAGAAGCACGGCCAGCCCTTTCTAAAGATGAGAATATTTCTCCCACTGACTGATTTCAATGTGAATCCACCAGAATGAAAAAACAATGGAACAAATATTACTGCTATAATCAGCGGATATAGACGAATCTATGCTGATATTCAACAAATCAGTTCTCTCAAGGTGGCCCAGCAAAATGTTTAACTTCTGCTAGAGGCCACTCTTCTCCCTTGCAATTATTCTCAATAATCTGCTTTCCCAGTTATTAAGGAAACAAACAAAAACTGAGTTAGAGTGGATCTTTTCCATGCGTACCATAGTCATTTTCAAATAAAGTGATAGGGGTGGGTCTCCTGGCACCACTTTTGCCAGAATAGAACTCTGACCTCAGCAGCACTGGCCGGTTAGCAGGGCCTTCAGAAGTTCACATGGTGAGGGAACACACCTTGCCTCCCGTCCCGGCTCCCTCCAGCCCCTGTTAAAGACAGGTCAGCCAGAAATCAGCTTCTGCAAGTCTCCAGCACCGAGACTGACAGGAACGCAGGCAGCGCTGAGCCGCAGAAAGTTAATGCACACGTTTCTCTACATGGACTTGGGGGAAAGGCAGAAATAGAGCCACATGCAAAATCTTTCCAAAGACTGGGCCAGACAGCATTCACATCCACACACTTCATGTCCTATCGACTCACCCGGCCCCACGCCCACAGCCACGCCCTCCAGCCAACTGGAAGGTCAGGCTCCAGCTTTTTAATAACCTTCTTATACGTACAGACCTGTGTATCCAGATTCTACGAAGCACACAGATGATTATCTAGGATTAATGGATCATCCAAAGTGCCAGTTGGCACATTTTGAGTAAAAAGTGTAACCAATGCAGCTGTTTACTAATAAATAAAGCCTCAGCTGCTGGAGAAATAAATGAGATGCCTTTAATTGGTAGGCTGCAGCCCTCCGCTCTTTATTACAATGCTGCTGCTTGAGCTTTACGATGTCAGGGCGGATGGCAGACGGACAGAGTGCTTATGAATCACAGTTTGCAGATGGCTCTCTCGTTCTCGGCAGCCACGAGTACAAGTAGCGTGAGGCCTCAATAGTGGCTCTTGCCAAGGACGACCCCCTGAGAGTTAGCTGTCTCTGTTTCTCTTGTGCCAGTCTCTCCCTGGCAGACTCTGCTGCACAAGCCCGCTTTCAGTAAACCGCAGCTGCCTGGCAGGGGATTAGAGAGAGCGCACCCAGGAACGCTCTCATCTCGAGCTGGTCTTTGTCGCCGCAGAGGAGGCTGTGCAAGGACTCTCAGAGCTGGCTTCCCGAGGTTCTTCACAGGGAAGAGGACCCAGGACCCAGCAGGACACAAACCCCTCCTCCTGCCCGCTCCTGGGGCTCTCCCCGCCCACCCTCCCTCCAGCTGACAGGAGTGACTGCCTGTCTCTTGGGCGCAGCAGAAGGTCCTTGCACTTGGGACTCAGAGCTCCTGGAACTAATGACAACTTTGTCATCATACAGCTGGGCTCGGGGGCGTCACCCAGCCCTCACAGCTGAGCCTTCCCAGCTTCTACACGTGGTACTTCTCCGGTCACTGGTTGCATCTGTGGCTGGGGAACAGAGCACAGGAGACGTGCCATCGTAACTGTCAACAGATTTGCACATTTTTGTTACTGGTGATACTCATAATGGATTTTTATTCTAATGGGTTTTTTCATTAGATAAATGGGAATGATCAAACACCTTTGGAGAGAACAGAGTACAGTCTGAACACATAGTAATAGAAGTGATAAGGTTAATGATGATAGCAATAAGAATATTAATATCAGGAGCTAACTTTCTGTTTTTCTGAGGAAGATTCATCCAGACCTAACATCCGTGCTAATCTTCCTCTATTTTTTAGTATGTGGGCTGCCAGCACAGCATGGCTGCTAACAGAGCAGTGTAGGTCCGAACCCAGGAACTGAATCCAGGCTGCCAAAACAGAGCGCACTGAATTTAACCACGAGGCCACGAGGCCAGCCCAGGAGCTACCATTTACTGAGTACTTACCGTGGGGTTAGCTAAACTGCTGTTCTCAGAGCCATAGAAGTTCTGTGTCAGTTTAAAACACATCAGCACCATCCTTCTCTCTCCTTGTTCCCTTTTTCTGCCTCGTGGCCTTTGGTCGGTGAGCATGGCCACCTGTCCAGGAGGCCCTGAGAGAAATCCTGAGGCCACTGCCCACTCGCTTCCTCTTTTCCTCTTGCCTGATGGGGACCCGATGAAGGGTCCCGTTCTCAGCCTCTCGTGAAGCCTAAGCTAAGATGGCTTCTGGAGGTCAAGCTGGATCAGGCAGAGAAAGCACGCCGACAAATGTAAGTTTCTGTGGTTGGTAGGTTTCAAAAACAATTTTGGAAACCTTACAAGGGAAAGGAATCAAAGTCAGATTTTTCACTTTCGAGGAGGCCCCCTATCTCCTAAGGAATTTACTTAAAACAAGGAGAAGTCATCGATGTTGTATAAAATGGTGTGCACACCTCTAAAGATCAAGCATAAGGCAAGAATTTCTGCTCTGACATTTTAGCGTTGTACTAGAGTTCTCAACCAGCAATACATAGATAATACATACCTACGTCGCAGATACATAAAATCAGAGGCATCCGGATTCAGAGAGAAGTCGTAAAACTGTCTTTGTTTGCAAATGCCATGACCCTGTATGTACAGCATCCTGAGGAATCTACAAAAAATTAATAAACAAGTTCAGCATAAACCAGATAAACATGCAAAAAACAGTCGTGTTTCTACGCCAGCAGTGAACAATCTGAAAATGAAATTAAGAAAACAATTACACTTACAAGGGCATCACAAAGAACAAGATACTTAAAAATATATTTAGCAAAAGATGCGTCAAGCTTGTACACTGCAAACTACAAAACATTGTTGAAAACATAAAGAAGATCTAACCAAAGTGCCATATGTCCATGGATTGGCAGACTCAATATTGTTAAGAGAGCAATTCTCCTTAAAGTGATCGACAGATTCAATTTAATTCCTAGAAAAATCCTCAAACTGGCTTTTTATTTTTCAGAACTTGACAAGCTAATTCTAAAATTTATATGGAAATGCAAAGGACCCTGAATAACCAAAACAATTTTGAACAAGAAGAATAAAGTTGGAGGACTTATACTTTCCAATCACAGAATTTACTACAAAGCTGCAGGAATCAAGACCATGTGGTACAGGAGTAAGGTTAGACACAGATCAATGGAGCAGAATTTAGAGTTCAGAAGTATACCCTTATATTTATGGTTAATTAATTTTTGACAAACATGGAAAGACAATTCAATAATGTTTTCAGCAAATGGTGCTAAGACACTTGGATATACACATGCAAAAAGGCTAATTTAGATGCTTACCTTATACCATATGAGAAAATTAACTCAAAATGGGTCACGGACCTAAACGTAAGAGCTAAAAGTATAAAATTTCTAGAAGTAAACCTAGGAAAAATAAAGTAAAGAAACTTGGAGTGGGGAGAGCTTTCCTGAGGAGGCAGCACTGAGGGGAATGTTACCTGAAATGGGGGAATAAACTCTGCAAAGATCTGGGGGAGAGTTTCCCACACTCCAGGCAGCTGCCCAGAGGTGAGAGTAAACTGTGCATCTTTAGGAGCAAGGAGACCAGGATGGCAGGTTCCATTGTGACACTGAGCTAAACAGAGATCTCTTAGACATGACAGAAAAAGGTCTACTTATTAAGAATAAATTAACAAATTGGACTTAATCAAAATGAATGTTTTCTGGGGCCAGCCGGGTGGTGCAGCGGTTAAGTGGGCACGTTCCACTTCTCAGTGGCCCAGGGTTCTCAGGTTCTGATCCCGGGTGCAGACATGGCACCGCTTGGCAAAAGCCATGCTGTGGTAGGAGTCCAATGTATAAAATAGAGGAGGATGGGCATGGATGTTAGCTCAGTGCCAGTCTTCCTCAGCAAAGAGAGGAAGATTGGCAGTAGTTAGGTCAGGGCTAATCTTCCTCAAACAAAAAAAAAAACAAAAAAGAAAGGTTTCTGATCTTACAAAGATATCACTTATAAAATGAAGTGTTAAAATACAGAGTGGGAGAAAATACTTTCAAATCTTGTATTTGGCAAAGACCTTGTATCTGGAATATGAAAAGAACTCCTACAACTTAGTGATCAAAAGACAAATAGCTCAATTAAGAAATGGGCAAAAGATTTAAACAGACATATCACAAAAGAAAGGGTATGGGTGGCCACTAGGTACATAAGTATATGATGACCTTGTAAGATGCTCAAGGTCATTAGTTATCAGGGAAACACAAACTAAAGGCACAATGAGACACTACTACATATCCACTAAAATGACCATAATTAAAATGGATGGTAAAACTAAGTTTTATCAAGGATTTAGAGCAACTGGAATTCTCCTGGATTGGTGTTGAGAGTGTAAAATGTTGGGAGTACTTTGGGAAACAGGCAGCCTTTTTATAAAGTTAAACATACACTATAACTTGTCCCAGCAATTCTAAAAGTAACTAGTTTCTAAAGGTAAATAAAACATTTTTTCTCACAAAAACACTTGTCCATAAAAGTTCATAGCAGTTTCAGTCATAATAGCTTCAAACTGAAAATATTCCAAATATCTTCATCAGGAAAATGGATAAAAAATCATGTATTCATACACTGGAATATTGCTCAGCAATTAAAAGAAACAAACAAGCTTCTGCATGACTGATTCTCCAAAACACTGTGCCGGACGGAAGACTCCAGGGCACATACAGTCTGCCTCCATTCACATGAAATTCCAGAAGAAGCGAAACTGACTTGCAGGGACAGGAAGCAGACCAGCGGTCACCTGGGGCTTGGGGCGGAGAAGTTCATGGCGAGCGTCGCAAGAGCCCCCTTGGGAAGATGCGGATGTTCTGCATCTTGCTGGGCAAGTGGTTACATGGGCTTTTTCATCTGTCAAATCTCACCAACCTGTACACTTAAAGTGGTTGTAATTTATTGTATTTAAGTTATACCTCAATAAAGCTGATTTAAAAGTAAAATTAAAAATACCAACATTGACGTAGGAAGTAATAAACTTGAAACGATGAGAAATCTTAAAATAAACTAACTTCTAAAACAGGCACTAAACATAAAATTTTTTGTTACAATTCCTAATAAACATTCAATGATTGACTGTTTCCTATATTACATAAAAATTTCAAGATCATATAAAAAGATAAAACTTACCAGCTTGTTTTATGAGCCTAGAAAAATCCTTATGACAAAAATGAATAAAAGTAGATAAAAGGAAAAAGAAAAAATAGGTCAAATTCTTTTATGAACATAGGTAGAATAATACTGAACAAAATATTAGGGTATCAAAACAAGCAGCTTAATAATATTAAAAACAATGTCAATAATTAGGGTTTGCCACAGAAATGCAAGGATTGTTCATATCATGAAATTTTTTAAATATAATTCACTCCATTAAACAATTTAAAAAGAAACAATGAAATTACCATCTTAATGGGTAACTGTAAAGCATTTGATAAAATTTAACACAGTCTTGATTATTTTAGCAAGCTTCCCCCTTCACTCCTGAGATATATCAGAAGACAACAAAAAGCAAAAAGAGGTTTGACTGTTAATAAGGGATAAGACTGTTACTAATTGCAGATGATATGATTATTTACATGCACAAATTTAAGGGAACCAACTGAACATCTGTTAGAAATAATAAAAGAGTTCAGTAGGTTAGCTTGATACATGATTAATAAACAAAAATCACAGCTTTCCTATTATCAACAAAACAATTTAAAAAATTTGGGAAAAAACAGATTACATTAAAAATCTAAAAGCTAAATAGAATTTAGAATTGTAGGACTATTCAAGCAGAACAGGATAAATGGAGAGGCTTTTATGTAATTTTGAAAAGCTTTTAATTATCACTAAATTAATTAATCTCTGATTTTAAAGTTTCTCCTGAAGAGATCTTGCACAAAATGCCAGAAAAAATTTTTGAAAGAATATGTAAAATTAAAATTCTGGGGCCAGACCAAAGATGCAGTGGTTAAGTTCACACACTCTGCTTTGGTGGCCCGAGGTTTGTGCGTTCGGATCCTGGGCGTGGACCTACACACCACTCATCAAGCCATGCTGCGGTGGTGTCCCACATGCAAGACAGAGGAAGATTGGCACAGATGTTAGCTCAGCAACAATCTTCCTCAAGCAAAAAGAGGATTAGCAACAGATGTTAGCTCAGGGCCAATCTTTTTCACAAGAAAAAAAAATTAAAATCCTGTACCAGATTTTAAAAAAATACATATACACACACACACACACACACACACATAGGCAAATCAGATTAATTGCCTAATCCACAATTTTCTCTTACTTTTACTCAGGTTAAACTCTGCCTTACTCAAGACAACGTGCTCAACTAATAGCACACATTTGCCAACCTCTCCTGCAGTTACGAGTGGCCACGTATTACTGTTCACACTAATGTATAAGACAGGACTTCTGGGGAAGCTCCCTGACAGAGGGCACGCGCAGCTCCCACACGGGCCCTCTGCTCTTTGCCTCTTTCTTATTCGTGTCTGGAATACAAAGGTGATGCTGGGGGTGAAAAACTATCTTGCAACCCTGAAATCATGAACTGAGAATGAACAGCACTCAGGATAGTTGAGCAAAACACGAGGCGGCTCCTTCCTGATGTCACCAAGGGCCGTGCCAGCCCTGGACTCTGACTTTCGGCTTACTGCTACATGAGAACAATAAACCTGTTGTTTCGTTAAGCTGCTATAGACGGTTTCTGTTATTCTGTGACACAAAGAAGAATGCAATCCTTACCTGAAAAATGCTTCGAGCCTACAATCATTAGAGTGCTCTGCATCGTGACATTAGTGCTAGAATAGACAAACATTTGAGCGGACACAGAACTTACGTTTGTAAACACATATAACATCAGTCCTTGATAAAGTCGGCATTTAAAGTCAGCACCATGTGTGGGCCAGCTCGTCTAAAGCAGTCAACAGAGGAAGGAAGATTTCACCGGGACAGACCGGATCACCCTCAGACGTGTTCCCACATTCCAGCAGCCGGCCCCTCGGTCTGCACAGCACATGGTGGCCTTCCTTTTTGGATTGCGGCCGCTCTCTGTCCACACTGCCTGTCCAGTCACAGGGCATCCACAGCCCACTGCCCTCCATCACTGTATCTGCTCCTCCTTGGTTTTCCTTCCTTTCCAAGCTGGGCCACACAAGCCCTAACACCAGAACTTTCACAATTGGTAGATTCTTCTGATTGACTCCTTAACTCAAAAGCCAGTTTTCCTGATAATGTTCAGGAGTCCATCCTCTGTGCTCCTTTCTGCCGCCCATTTATGTTGATTGATTAGGTCAGAAAGCCCGAGCTTTTCATTTAGTTCTTCTTAACACCCCTGTCATTTAAGTCCATTAGTGTTTGAATAGTGGATTTTAAAATATTATATTAAATTTTACGACTTTTTGACAAAGGCAGTTCAAGAATAATTTCTGAATATCTTATAGAAACCATAAAATGTCAGAGTTTCAAGGGCCCTTGGAGATCACCTGCTATTACCTCTTATTTTAGAGGTGGAGAGACTGCAGCCCAGAGAGCGGAGGAGTCTGCCGGCTGTGCTGCCTCTTATTAGTGAAGGTGCTGAAGAAAACCCTAGAACTTCCTGAGTTCCCTCTTAACCTCCCGGTGTTTGAGTTCTTGTCCTTGCTGTCGGCGGATCCGCCCTTGTTTGTTTATCTTCCTGTTATCATTAGGGGATTATCATTCTCCAATGTCAGGAGAAGATAGGCTATAAGAACTAATTCCAGTTTATTTCTCATCCTCCACTTGCTCCTCCAGGGCCCGAGCAATGACTCATGCATCTGGAGGGGAGGCAAGAACGTGACAGGTCTGCTGGCCAGGCGCACAGTCACGGACATGGGTTTCAGCAGCGCTGGTCCGTCGCTCTCTCCGTCTTTCGAACCACCTGGTCATACACATAAAGGACCCATGCTCCTAGTCTCCAGGCTGTAAAGGGGTCAGTCAGAGACAGTTCTTCACTACATCATGGCCAGCTGCAACTAGGTCAGACAGTCAGCCTCACTTGGGTCTGATTTGTGTGTTCAGTGTGGAGGCGGGACATCTCACCATATTCTTCAATTCGGCTTTACAAGTCTTAAAACTAATACTATACTTTAATCTCTGTTTTATTCTTTGTGTGTATCTCTTCACGAAAGACTAAAGTCCTGGAGGGCAGGAGAAGTGATGAATTAGGTTTATCCTAATAGCTAATATCTGCTTCTGTGCTCTTAGTACCTGGGCATCAGACTAGATACAGATTTAGGGTGAGGTGCCAGGGAGGGGAGGTAGGTGGGGCACTGCAGTGGGCCGAATCACCTGGTTGATCACAACAGCATTCTAAAATGCAAGTCTGAATGTGTATTATTCTCCTCCTGAAATGCTCTAGGCTTTCCAGGCCCCATTGTTTTCCAAAGGGATGTGAATACCCTGCGGGAGTGTAATATGGTGCCGAGGGACAAGAAGGACATGTTAGAATATCTATTTCTGTCTATTTTTTATAAGATTTCTAATTTCCTTTGTACATATTGTACGATGTACATAATCTATTAGAGCAATACACGTGAGTTTATACATTAAGGCACGTGCATATGTTGGAAGTTAATGTCCCAAAGCACTGACTCACCAGGGTGAGTGATGAGACCACAGTTTGGAGCCCATTGATCCTGGATTTCAAATTCTTGGGGTGAGAGACAAGCCTATCTGTTCTTAAATGCCTGTTTAACGCTTCAACCTCCTCTCTTGGCATCCCTCTTCTTGGCAATCATTCTTTCAATCAATGTTTACCGTAGGCTTATCCTGTGCCCGGCACAGTGAGAGCCTTACAGGAGAAGAGTGCAGCGCCATGCCTCGGGGGGCTCACCTTCCACCTGGGCTGCAGGCGCCTCAGGAACGGCCTTCCTGCAAGAGCGGTGTTGGAGTGCTGAAGGATGAGCCCCAACAGTCCCTGGAAGCTCCTGAGTTTGCCAGTTTCCCCTCTGGACTCCTTGAACCAGCGGGGCCTGCTGTCCTGAACACTCTCCTTCAGCTGCCCCCGCCCTTCACCGACTTCTCCTTCTCATCCTGGATTCTGATGGATGCCTCTCCTTCCTTGTGCAGCTTCTACTGTGGCACTTACTTCACATAGTAAAATTTCCTGAGTCTTTACTGGCCTAACCCGTGCCTGGTCCCAGTTTCCCACAGGCAGCCGGTTGCTCGGGGTTACTTTGTTGAATTGAATAGAAGCTCCCTAGTGTCCAGTCATATCAAACTGTTGCCATGTTACACGTTTGCACAAAATGTTCTTGTGCCTGGAGAGTTCTTCCCTGTTTAAATCTGAGCAGCCCCAAGCATACAGGCCCCCTGGGGGGCCTCCCTCAGGCCACAGGAGGTGCTGTCTTTGCCTTCTTTGTATACTTTCTCCATCACCAGAGCATTTGAACGTTCCACAGAACAAGTAATAAATAGCATCATGATTGTGTGTTGAGTGGTCTGTTTCTGTGACAAAATCACAAGCAAATTGGTGGGAAAAACATTTTTTATTACCTTTTATTTCTTCCTAACATCCAACATTGTGCCTAGCACATAGTATGTCCTCAAAAACTATTGTTTGAGTGAAAGAATAAAAGAACACACAGTACTCTCATAACCTGTAAAGCAACTCTAACAGCAAATTCTGTGTGAGGGAGCAGTAAGAGCATGGTGGGGTGGGTTCTCTGCATGCGTCTCTATATGTGCATACCTGATCTGTGTGTGCATGTCTCTGTGCATATATGGCCTGTGTGTGCATGTATGTGTGCACGTGCGACCTGTGTGTGCATTCCTCTATGCATATGTGTGCAGGTCTCTATGCATATGTGCATATGAGATCTGTGTGTATGTGTACATTCAACATGTGCACATATGTGTGCATATGTGATGTGCATGCATTTGTGAATATGTGACACGTGTGCACGTGTCTGTGCATACCTAACATGTATGTGCATGTATGTGTGAATGTATGAGCTGTGTATGTCTCTGCATATGTGAACACACAGTACCTTCATCCCAGTGTATGTCTTAGGGTTAATGGAAGGGAGAGTGGCAACTAATGTGTATAATCTTTATGTAGATTTTTCTTGTGATTGTCTGCCACCCTTCCTAATATTTAAGCACTTTGTAAAAGAGTCTCGTCTTACTTACCACTGTCTTTTCCTCCAATCATGCCTGGCACATAGTAGGTGACAGGTCAAGATTTTTTAAATTCATAAATAACACTTACTTAAGATGTAATATGTGCAAATAAGTCATCAGGCACCCTGCGTGTACTTCCTGGTTAACTCATCACAATAACCCAGTGCTGGCGGCAAGAAGTCTAGACTGGGGAAGTGAAGTGACAGCTCCAAAGTGCCCTGGTTCTCAGGTACGAGGCAGCCACTCGAACCCAGGACTCTCTGACTCCAGAGTCTACACTAAAAATGAAGGCAAATGATCCTTAGTTTTAAAAAAATTGCCTTGTGCACATTTCTTAATTAACCCCACCCCTGTTTTTAGAGGAAAGAAAGCTGTGAACCAAGAATAAATTAGACTGCCTTGCAAACTGTGAACTGCAAACCTGTGAAGTGAGGGCGAGTGCTGTGACCAGAGCACGGCCCCGCCCAGCCATGGTGGGCTCTCACAGCGTGGAGACGCCAGGGGAGGGACGAGTCCACGCTGAGCCCACCCTTCTGCTTCACTTCTGGGACTCACGGCAAAGCAGCCCTGCTGAGGCGGCTGGGGCCGTGGTCTTGTCCAAATGCCTGAAGGTGACTTTGCTTCACATTATTGGGCTTCTACTGGGCAGAGGAGGACACGGCAGGCGCAGGCTCCTTGGACATCGCCTTCAGCACAAGGCCCAGCCTCTGTCTGGCTTGGGCACTGTGTCCAAAAGACTTTTCCTTCCCAACCAGCACATCCTCCTTCTGACCTCGCGCCCAGAATCGGTTTTGCTCCAGAGCAATAACAACGTTCTCCAGGCTGCCATGGCTGCGGCTGTACCAAAGACAAACGCGGAAGGCAAGTGGACCTGATGACACGTGCTGTGACTCTCTTGGCCATAGACAGTGGATGGTGTGAGGTTAGATGAGGTTTCCTTGGCAGCTTCCGGGCCTGAGCTGTGGCAACGGAACAGGCAGACCAGCAGTTGTGAATGTTCCCACGAGAGTGTGCAGAGGGAGGAGAGCTTTGGAAGCAAATAAAGGAGCCCTCGCTTTATCCACTAGTGGTCATTACATCCAATGTCTGATTCGAGTGCATTTAATTTACTCATTTATCTTGCTCCTCCTGAACTGCACGAAAAGACAGGCAGGGAAGCGTGTATAGTCTCTGAGGACCTGAGGACTGAGAGAAACCTGAATGAAGTGAGCTGTGTGGACATCTGGGGACTGGTTACTGGGCAGGCAACAGGCTCTGAAGTGAGAGCATCTCACTCGTCTGAGGCAGCGAGGAGTCCAGCCAGAAGACCGGAGCAGAGGGAGAGAAGAGAGCCGTGAGGTCCAATGGGAAGCCAGTGGTCAGAGAACCACTGCACCTGCCTGTAGACTTTTCTGGTCCATGTCATGGAAAATCCTCGGAAGATTATGGGCAGGGGAGGGCATGACTTGACTGTTGTGTTAAAGGAGCACGCCAGGGGGGTAGGAGTAAACCTTGGGAAGGGGAGAGCAGGAGCCGGTGGATGAGTGAAGAAACTATTGCTGCCACTCTGGAGAGAGACTCCGGCTTCAACCAGAGGGCAGAGGGAGAGGAAGGGGGTGAGAAGCCCTAGGATTCAGAATGTTCTCTGAAGGTGGAGCCTGAACGCTTTGCTCCTGTGGTGGGTGTAGAACGGGAGAGAAGAGGAGCTGATGATAGCAAGACTTTGGCTTGAACTGAGTGTGTTCAGGTGGGGAAGAGGGCTGGCAGCGGGTGAATCTGGGGAGGTGGGAGATCAAGAGCTCTCTCTCAGCAGGTTAGGCCGGAGATGTCCGTTAACCTCTGTTAACTGGGAGGATGCAGAGTGAGAGGTGAGATGTGTTAAGTCCAGAATTCACTTGGGCTAGAGATAAAAATGTGGTAGTTGGCAACACATGTTTAAAGTGATGGTGCTGCATAACATCACCCAGGAAGCAGATGCAGCTGAAGAAGAGAAACCCCGGAGAGCAAGACTGATCCCTAGGGAACTCCAGGAATTTATTAACAAAGCCGTGATTCCACCCAACAATTCAGCCTGTGCTTTGGTGGGCCACTTTATGTGGCCTAATATGGATTTCAAACGTGTAAGACGAAGGCCTTGCCCTCAAGGAGGGGAGGCTGGGGTGCTGCGGAGAACGCTGCCAACGAACAGGAAGTTTGCCGACCTCTCACCAGATGTGTGGGGTGAACGGACGCCTTAATCTTCCTGACCCTCCGTGTCTTTGTCTCACACGCGAAGCGCGCGTCACCTGTATCAGCAGTTTTATGAGAATCATTCCGTATCCAGTGTATGATATTCTACAAATTGTGACTTTTTTCTCTCCAAAGACGCCTGCTTTGGGGTACGTTCCCCTGCTCCTCCCGTCTAGTCGAGACCAGAAGCTGCACAGGGCCAGGGAACGCTTCTGTCTTGTTTTTATTATGTAGACAATGTCCAGCATTCCAGGTTCTTGATAATCATCTGTGGAATAAATTGTATGAAACCAGTAAGTGCCTTTGGATAGCATTTAGGGGCCTAGCTGCTTAGATGAATCAGAGTAAATGTGGTCCCCTCGCCTCATAGAGTTTGTGCACAGCCCAGGCATTTCAATACTGTGATGCTCAGAGAGAAAAGACTCCAAGATAAAGTATTTAATCCCAAACCAATGGCATAACTTTTTTCCAACGCTGTATTTGTGTATAATTCAACTATGCTGGATTACCTTTAGGCCATTTAGAGCAAAGCAATGTATCCAAATGAAATAAATAGCTAATTTAAAAAATATTGTAGGGGCCAGCCCCATTGTGTAGCAGTTAAAGTTTCATGCGCTCTGCTTTGGCAGCCTAGGTTCTCAGGTTTGGATCCCGGGTGTGGACCTACACTACTTGTCAGCCATGTTGTGGTGGCAACCCACATGTAAAGCAAAAAAAGCAAGCAAAAAAAGAGGAAGATTGGCAACAGATGTTAGCTCAGGGCAAATCTTCCTCAGCAAAAAACATAATACTAATATTGTAGAAATTTGTTAATTTTTAGTATCTTTATTAATGGACTTAATAACTATTAATAATAACTAACTACTACTAATAACTACCCCTAACTATCAAAAATTAGCAATTATTTGTTAAGTTTTTGCAAACATTGGGTGATGAGGAGCATACAGCAACAACACACAGGAGCCTCTGAAAGAAGGTCTCCACTGTGTGCCAGGTCGCAGAGCCCGAGGTGGGGGCTGCCTCTTTAGCTTCCTCCTTGCTTTCTTCTCAAGCCCAAACTCCTCCCTCTCATCGTCCAGGTGCCCACAGATCACACCCACCCTCTTCTCCGTCCTGACCGAGGCCTCCATCTCAGGAGTCAGAGCAGGGGCTCAGATTCCTTATAATCTCATAGGCTACGTTGCCCAGATCCATTACAGGAGGAAGCTCACGCTTGTTAAGGCATAGGGTCTGAAGGGCAAGGAGGGCAGCATCATGGTCGCAGGGGCAGGTCAGGACCCAATCTGCGTAAAGGTCTCTTCTCACTCTGCACCCTCCACTCTCCCAGCGCTCGCGTCCTCCCCTTCATGAGGCAGCTGGGCTGCTGCAACCAGCTCCACAGACTGGGAGCTTAAACAACAGACTCTTATTTTTCGCAGTTCTGGAGGCTGGAGGGCCAGTTTCTTCTGAGGCCTCTCTCCTTGGCTTGTGGATGACTCCTTCTCCCTGTGTCTTCACAGTCTTGCTTTTGTGTGTATCTATGTCATAACCTCCTCTTCTTATAAGGAACCAGCCACGCTGGATTAGAACCCACCCCAGCGACATCGTTTCAACTTATGACCTCTTTAAAGAGGGCTCCAATATAGGAATTTGGGGAGACACAGTCCACCCTCACCGCCTGTGTAGGAGGCTTTCCCGCTGCTGTTTCTCTCTGCTCTTCTGCCTTGGGAGGGTCTGAGGAGCCCCAAGAGCACAGTGAGTGAAACAAGGGTCTGAGTCGGACAGTCTGGGCTCGCCTACCAGCTGGGCTGGAGCGGGCGGAGTTTGGAAAGAGCATTAACCATCC